CCCCCCCGACTGTTTGCAGGACTCCCCCACAGTGCCTGGTCACCGACCCCTTCCCTCTAAATGCCACCATGGCTGCCTTCGATGGCAGTGGCAGAGAAGATGCCACCACTGCCAACCTCCCTGTCCCCGAGGCTCCCCCGCAGGGTCTGGGGACCGACCCCTTCCCCCCGAGTGCTGCTGCGGCTGCCTCTGAGGGAGAAGATGCTGCCGCCGCCACCCCCCTTCATGTCCCTGGCACTCGCTCTCCGCCCACCTCCTGGCTCTGCCCTTCTCCACGAATATTAAATCTGCAAATCCAGAGTTCACGAATAGCGAGGGTTTCCTGTAGTTTTTGTCTAACCTGCACTTACAAATTTCTGGTGATGAAGACTTAAGAGTTGATAGTTACAAGAAGTAGAATACCTTAAAATAGTAACACTTTAGCTAGCATTCATGAACAGAGGTACTGTGCTCCTGGAATCCCTGTTTTAGGTTTCATCTGAAAGACATTTCAGTTATCTGGTAAGGATTCCTTGATACACTTTATAAGGACAAGAATAGTAGCTCCATTGTGCAGGCTGAATTGTTGTAGGGATAGTTATACTTTTGCCTGTATATTAATCTCTTGTTGATTTTATTGGATAAATTATTTATCTTTACTTGCTGTTCTCAAAATGGTTGTTTATTCTTGCATGGTTATGATGATTCTGGTGTTTTACTTCAGAAGTAGCTGTATTCTAGTGCTAAAGTTGCAAATCCGCATCTATCTAGGCGTAATTGTAAATATCTTTGCAAAACTTTTGGCTGAATCCACTCTGACTTGTGGACAAAAGGTATGTGAGATTTACTGTTAAGTAGCTACAATTACTTATAGCTTCCCGTGGTTCCATGACACTCTTTCACACACATAATTATAGAAGATTTGCAAACTGTGCTGCGTATTAGTTGGCTACATTCATTCAGCGAGCAAGGGGGTACAGACTTAAAATTCTGTTTTCAAGACAAGGGAAATGTTACACTTTTGGAACTCAAATCTAGTTGTTTCAATTACCTTCTTGCTTTCCATTTTGAACTGTTCATTTATTAGGTGTGTATTTCTCTTTAAAGGGTCGTGATTACTGTTCAGAAGAGGAGGATGTCACATAGTGCCAGTTCTGCCAATCAAAACAGGAATACTGCTGTGTAAATAGATTACAACCCAGTCAAGATCTCTTGGAAGTCTTCTAGAGCGAAACAGCACTACATAATAAAAGAAGATCATTTCCACATTGTATTCTCCATTCAATTACAGTGTTTCTTAATGGACAGATAAGGAATATTGCTAAGAACTCTTGGAACTGTCTTTGTTGCTGCTAGTTAAAACTTGTTGCAACTTTTCACTTTTCTGTGTCCAGGTATGCAGCAAATCCTTAAAATTAATCTGAAAGATGCTGTTGATTTTACTAAGGCTACTGGCCTATTTTCTATTGGGTGAGGTAGTATTATACAGAACTTCCATAACTGAACATGCAAGCATCTAAGACCCCTGTATGCTGTTTGTCAGTCCACATGTGGGCTGGAGTGCTTCTTATTCCTGGTGATTTCAAGCTTTGGAGATGGGATATTTCGCCATGGTAGGCCTGGTTTTTCTGCTGAGAAGAAGTTGAGAAACTATTATCCATTAAAAGCATGTTATCACACATACTGGAAGTGATACAGGAGCTGAAATCTGTATTTTAAAGAAAAAAGTTTCATTTAATAGGTATCTTAATCAAGGACTAAGCTTGCAGTATTGGTATTGCTGAGCGCAAATGGAAGTGTGATCGCAATCATTTTGATTCCCCTTTTTTTCTAAGAAAATAAACATTTTACTGTTGTTATGTATTCTTGTCTTTTACTGTTCATACAGTACAGCCTCCAATGAGTCTGGGGGATGGGAAAAGCAAAATTAACCCTCTGCAGTGACGACTCCAAGATGCTAACATTTTAAAGCATCTATCTGCAGGCCAATTAGGGATATCTGTTGTGTGTTCTGTAGAGTTTATTTTTCCATATTATACAAAGAGGATATCTTCTCAAAGGCAGATGTAATATTTTTAACAAATATTGTCATGAGTAAAAATAATCCTAAGGAAAAAAAATACCTTTTTGTATTTCTTCTTTTGAGGGTGTTTAATGGTGCCGGCATTTGTCTTCATTGTTTTATATGACAGCATAAACCCCACAGCACAAGAAGAAACTGTCAATACATCATCAGGGCACAGAGGTTTCTGTATTCAGCTCATTTCTGTGCTCTTTTGTTTGTTTGTGTGTGTGGAACAGACTGTGAATACTGATGACAGTACATCCAAGATTTTCGAGCAGGACTAGATGATTTAGGTGCCTTGTTTTTTAGATGCTCAACATGAGATTCCAGTAAGGGCCCTGATTTTCAGGTGACTTAGCACTGAAAACCCTTTAAGATATCTTAAGCTAAGTACCCAAAGTCAGTAGTCACGTGTTCAACTCTTGACCTAAAGTTACAAACACCAAGACTGAGTGATGGAAATTCTAGTGAGTAAAGAGATCTCTTGAAATAGTATGTGGTGATGCTAAATAAGATCAAGCAAACAGGATACAGAGATTTTATTCTGTTAGGAAATCTTGTTTGAAATAATACTATGTTGTTTATATACTTTAAGGAGCAATGGCACACTCAGAGTTGCTCCCCACCCCTAGCTTCTTCCTCCATTTCCCTAGGCCTTGTTTTAATGGTCAGAGGGCAGAGATAATGGGCAATGAGCTGAAACCACCTTTTCCACCACATGTATACTCTTGAATGTCAATATGGTGGTATATCAATACGTGTTAATGTTCTTGTTCATGCAGGACTGGTTTTAGACATCTCTAAAAAGAGTAATTTGCCAGGAGGATTTCATAAGTCTGCTGTATCAACCTGACTTAAAAAGAAGTCAGTTCTAAATCCTGAACCCTGCTGAGAGCCCTCAATCTTTTGGTGATCTCAGAGGGAGAAGAATATAGCATGAACTGAATTAATGTAGCTGATGTTAACATAGAGTGTTAGATTCCAGTAAGCGCCCTGAAAACCCTTTCAGATATCTTCATGTGCCCCATCTTGCGATGCCCTGAGTGTTCTTGTTACACAAATTGCCAATTGCTCAAATCACGAGCGAGACTTTATAAAGGGGGATAAGGCAAGGTACCATGTTCATTGATTACATGAGTTAGACATAGAGGTTCAGGGCATCACAAGATGGGGCACAAAATCAGTTATAGAAAAGTATTTTGCAGCATAAAATGCCTGGAATAGTAGACTTTCACTGTCAGCCTTCAAATTAGATGAATATTTATCTTGTTTTGTAGCTGAAAATTACAGAATTCTGGTTTTCCCAGACATCTGTTCAATTTTATTAGCAATGTTCATGGTTATTTTGACACATGGCATGTCCCACACTGATCTGTACTGTGCCTGTGCCCCACTATACTGAACTCATTTTGCAAATGAAGTAATTGCTCAACCAAGTAGCCAGCCCCTGCAGGAGCACCAGGAACATGCATTTCAGTTCTTCATGCTACCTTGGAACTTGATCTTGCAAGCCTCATTCATGCAAGGAAACCTTACCCAAGCAACTGCCATTGACTCAAGAAAACAATGAAGGAGTGTGGCACCAGGCCCTTGCTTTCCAAATATAGCACCTAGTTCCCAGGTGATAAATATTTCTCACCATGCAAGTTGTGTGTTTAATGTATGCACAGCAGTCCTCTAACCTGTCCTTCAGTATGGAGTTATTTCAGTGTAAAACATGTATACTTGCCTAATGATAAAACAGTATATTGGTTGCTGTTGTGTACTGCGTGAGCCTAATCAAGGAGGAAAAAAAACACCTTGACCCTTCTCATATGTCTAATGTGACTGTACTAATAAGCGGGATAGTGTTTTAGGTCTTTGTGCAAATTATAACCTGACTTGCATATTTGCTGCCTTCAAGTGACAACGCCAGCAAATGCTTGGGTGGGCATCTGTATTGATGGTTGCAATGATGTAGGGAAGGAAGCACTAGGTGGAGAATTTGGAGGGAATTAATAGTTGTCAGTGGAAATGACATGGAATTCAAGACCACCCAATGGCTGTGAAGTGATTGCCAACAAGATTTATAGTTGCTTTTACCAATTATATTGTGCAGTAAGTGTGAATAGTGAATTTTACTCCTGTTCAGCTCCAACCCTAGGCCATAGCAGTGCTTGTTATCATTGACAGCTACCATATAGAAAGAAGATTTTGCATTGACAGTTTTCTGTACTCTGACTTTGTTTTTTGCCCAGTTGACTAACTATCTGTCTAAATATTTGAGAGAGAGAGTTCTTCAATGGCAGTAAAAGGAAAAAAAACTATGTTTACTGAAACAAAATGTCAAACAGGAAAATTAATCATCTCTAATTTGTCAGATTTATGAAGTAACTGGATTTCCAAAAATTTAAGGATCTGTTTTAGAACCTCTCCACACCTTGACCACTCAGAAATGTCTGTTTTGTTTATCTGTTTCCTGAAGACGTGGTCAGTGAATGGCTAAGAAAACTTCCATAAAATGAGTTGAGAGAAAGCAGACTGCTGGCCAGAAATGGTATACCGTACTGGAAAGTGTCAGTGAATGACAGAACCTCTATAAAAATTGAGAATTCCTAAAAGTGCTGTCTTAACTGTGAATGTCTCTTCTATTCTGTTATGAGTGAAAAAATTATATTGGTTTTATGATAGAGAGAAACTTAATGGCACCAAAAGCAGGACTAAATAGGCTCTTTAGATAATTCATGGTTTTTAAGCTCATGATTTTTTTTTTTTTAAATTAGGCCTTTGTCCAGACTGATGTTAGTTATAAATCTAAAAACACAGTGCCAAGACCTGTAACAATGTAAGCAGATTACTGTAGCTTTACAATTTGCAATCTCTCTTCTCAAAGTTGTACCTCAACCATAGTTTACACTTATGCAGTGGGGGGATGAAACTGTACCTACCATATGTGTGTTACTGATTATTTTAACTGTTTCTTACTCCAGAGTTTGTTGAGCAGGAAGCACCAAGAAAATGAACATAGACCAAACTGTTATATTTACTAATTTGTGTTTACTCTCAAAATTAGGGTGATTTCTGGTTCCTTGTTCAAAGCCTGATTGTGAAACAGCCTTGTGACATGATTTGCCTCTCTTCTGCCAACAAAATCAGCGCCGTTGGAATTGTGTTCTCCACTCCGAGTCCTGGTGATTTCTCACTGAAATATTCATGAGTGATTCATAGATGTCTGGGTCAGAAGGGACCTCAACAGATCACCGAGTCCGACCCCCTGCCTGGGCAGGAAAAAGTGCTGAGGTCAGATGACCCCAGCCAGATGCCTATCCTATGATGTTCATGAAAGGTCAAATTGTGACCACAACTTCTTAGACTTTCAGAAGTGTGTGCATGTGTGTGGTGAGCAGAAATAGGCAGATAATATAGAGCCTTCAGAACAAGGACTCCATAAACTGATCCTAGAATACTCTATGCTTGCTATGCTAAGATTGCTCACTATATATTGTCTGGATTGTTGTGCTTTTCCCATATAAAATATCAAGCTTTTGCTCCCACAGAAGTGTGTTCCCTGTTTAAACTCTGGTAGGCACCTAGGGCAGAGCCATAGGGAATTGTCTGTATAGTAGCAGCTCAGTACAAAGGCAAAATGCCAGTGCTGTGGGCTACAGAGAACAGGAGAGCAATGATGAGGCTAGTTTATTTGTGGCGCATCCAAATTAAGTACAGTGAAGGTGCAATTCTCACCAGACCCAGAGTAGAGATTGGCAAAAGTTAAAATTCCACCTTCAGAGAGTCAGAGTGAGTATTCTGAAGTGTTGGACTGAGTTAAATCTCTCTCCCTAAGCCAAAGAAGGTCTTCAGCTGTTGGCACTTAATGAGGCAGACTCCAGCTGGGGCTGGTACCTCATCAAACAGTTGACTCCTCCAAGTTCAGTTTGGAGAAGAAGCACCAGAAACTGAATCTCAGTCTGTTCTTTCATCTCTCCAGGAATACTACTCCCTGTTGGGAAGGGAGGTTTGAGCTGCTTTGCCCATGAAGCAGTTTTTTCAGCCCAAATTAAAAGGGATTGTCTTTAACCATTGCAGCTGGTCTACATAATTTCTGAGATTAATTCCTACTGCATTTTTTCCAGGGGCTCATAACTCTCTAAGCCTTCACATGCCAAATTTTGGAAAGTAGTTTCTTTACTTGCTCCTTCAGGAGAACAGCAATGTTGGCATGTGCAAGACTGAGTTGTGCTTTCTACAATAACTCTGCCATCTTAGCTGAAGAAAGAAAATGAAGACACTGGTGCTGATCGTTTGGACAAGAGGCTGCAAGTCAGGATTTGTACGTATGCATTTCTGCTGAAGTGAAAAGATTTTCTTTCAATGATATCCTCTTGGTTTAAGAAGTATTCTTTTGAAGCACAGGCTAATAGAGTGCATCAGAGTTGATTTCTAAAATAATATAATTTAAGATTGCGCTAAAGGGGCATGACTGGCTGGGGACTATCTTTGTTATAAAAGTTGAATGCTAGGTGTTTCTTTGGGCACTGAGGGGGAATCCTGGATCAGCTCAGCTTTGTGGACATCTGTTACTGTACCATTTTAATCCCTTTGCCACTTGTATTTTAAAAAAGAGATGCAGATGCTGTATCCAGGCTGGGCTTGTTGGACTTTATTATTGATCTCCAATTTTCCCAATGAGCTGCCTCAATATGCTAGGTCTAAAGTAGTTTCGGTAGGTGATGTAAAAAATAAACTGTGGCTCAGCCATAATATTTAATGGCAAATGCTTTGCGCTGTTGTACAGGAAGAACTTGGTTTTAGGATCAAG